CCTTATCAGCATCAGCAGCATCATCATCAACAACATCAACATTATCATCATCAGCATCATCATCAGTATCAGCATAATCCTCGTCATCATCATCAGCAGCATGATCATCATCAGCAGCATCGTCATCATCATCGACAACATCAAAAACATAATCGTTATCATCAGCGGTATCATCATCAGTATCATCATCACCATTATCATCTATGCACACTTGGCATTCGAAGTCAGAATACATGATACTCGATCTAGTAGCCCATGCCGGCATGGACGTGGCCGTCGCGACGCCGCTTGTACGACGACTGCACAGCGGCCTGCACGGTCGGCAGGCGCGGGCCACGGCCAGAAAGTGTGGCAACGGACCCTCACTTCGAGAGCTCTCCCGCCAAGCTTGTCTGAATACTTCCCGGAGAATCCGTAGGTGCGACTGCTTCGTGCGCGTTGGCTCCACGAGGCAACAATGTTTTGTGTTTGATCGAGGCATGTACTGGGTTGTCCCTCATCAGGCCCGCGATTCAAGCGAAAGATCTTCCTCCAGAAGTAGCTCTCCCATCGCCTGGCACTTGCCAAGATATGCTTGCTTAGGTGCCACGAGCATGCCGCATAGGTTGCGGAGGTCGGCGGGCCAACCACCCAAGCGCATAGTTTGCTACTCTTGGAGCCCCTGCCTCGGAAAGTATTTGCAGGCTTCCAGTAGCACTTTTCCGCTGCCTCTGACCAGGCGTCGAAACTCGCCCTCGTGCCGCCATCGTTGGACAAGTGCACGCCCAGGACCTACATGGTTTCCACCATCTTGGAGGTCATCATAGCGCGATCCTGCACAGATGGGGATGGACCGGTCGCCCCACGGAGTGGGCCACAATGCATGCACTGCCACGAGGTCTGATTCCAACCAGAGCCCGAAGACGAGATGACGTCCGTGAGCTCTTTTGTCACGAACCTGAAGTCGTTCTGATTAGAGCATATGGGAAAGGAGGACTCCGTCGCCCTCAATTCTAAACCCCATCCCTGCTACAGCACGGCTCCTCCTCCTCCTCCGCCTCTTCCTCCTCCTCCTCCTCCTCCTCCTCCTCCTCCTCCTCCTCCTCCTCCGTCCCTCCCCCCTCCCTCTTTCCCTCCCCTCCTCCTCCCCTCCTCCCTCCCCCCTCCCTCCCTCCCTCCCCCTCACCTCCTTCCCCTTCTTCCTCCCTCCCTCCCTCCCATCCTCCCCCTTCCATCCCCTCCTCCTCCTCCTCCTCCCTCCTCCTCCTCCTCCTCCTCCTCCTCCTCCTCCTCCCTCCCTCCTCCTCCTCCTCCCTCCTCCTCCCTCCTCCTCCCTCCTCCTCCTCCTCCTCTTCCTCCTCCCTTCCCTCCTCCTCCTCCTCCTCCTCCTCCTCCTCCTCCTCCTCCTCCCCCTCCTCCCCCCCGCCCTACTCGGCCTACTCCGCCTCCTACTCGAGGGGCAGCGGCTGGGCGCCGGGGCCGTCTCCTGCCGAGGCACCCGCTTGCCGCCGAAGACGTTCCAGGCGAGCGGGTCGTACGCCTGTGCGGGTGGCACGCCGAGCGCGCTTCCGAGCGCCGGGGCCGCGCGAGTTCCAGCATGGCTCTCGGCAGACGGGAAGACAGGTCCTGAGAGAAGCGGGTCCTGGACCCAGGGGGGCCTCCCCCCAGGACCGTTTCTTCATCCTGAGCCGCTTTTTCTGACGGTCCCGTGGAGGGCACGGGGGCCCGTAAAGACGGCGAGAAGCCGCGGGGCGCGTGTCCCTCGGGACCCCTTTTCCCCAACGGCGGAGCTCCCTGGAGATCGCAGTCCAGGCTTCCGTCGCAGGAGGCAGCAGCATCCGCACCCGCTCGCTCTCACGCCGAAGCGCTGGCCTGCTCCTCCTGCTCCTCCGCCCAGCTCGCGAGGTGACCCTCCTGGCACGAACGCCCGCGCAACGCGCTCGCTCGATAGCCATGCGAATTCATGTGCTCCGAGTGGCATAAGAATCGGAGGGGCGCGCGACTCACCTTCCAAGGGAGCGTCCCCATCCCACCCCCCCGCTGCCCCTCCCCCTCAACTGAAGGGGCCCTGGGACACACAAATAAATAGACACACATAAGAATAGTCCATTTCTGGGCTTTTGTCTTCCCCCCCACTCCCCACATTTCCCCTTACTTTCGGGGGAGTCGACGATAAGTCGTGTCTGTGCGTTTTTTCCCCCTCCTGATCAACGCGCGTCCAAAGCTCGAGTTTCAGAACGGTCATCCCGTCCCCCCCCCGACGGCACGCGCCCCCCTCTCCTCCCCCCGAACAACCAAAGGGGAGGGGCGATGAATTGCGCCCTCCGGCGCACGCGCACGTCGCTGCTTCGCTCCCTCTCGCAGGGTCCCGACCTCCTGGCGAGGCCGCAGTGACACCGCCAAACAGATTGCTGTCAAGGGGCCCAAGGATACACAAATAAATGCACGCGAATAAAAATATTCCCCATATTTCCCATATTTTCTGGGTTTCTGTCTTCCCCCCCACTTCCCATATCTTCCCATATTTTCGGGGCAATCGACGATTAATTGTGTCTGTGTGTTTCTTTCCCTCCTGATTGGGTCCCGACCTCCTGGCGAGGCCACGGTGACACCGCCGGACGGGTTGCTAGCAAGAAGATCGGCGCAGGCGCGGCAAGTCCACGGGGCTCTGACTCCTTCCGCGCTGTCGTGCGCCACCTCCCTGGCGAGACCGGCGGAATACGGCCACACGGATTGAGGGCAGAGAGCGTTGATAACCTGTTTGGTGCCTCATGGGAGGCCTGTCAGAAGACTTTTAACGTTCTTGGGGCCTCTGTGGAGGCCTCTCGGTGCTTTTGGGGGGTGTTTGGGAGGCCCGTCGGGTACTCCTGGGGGTCTACTGGAAGCCTCTTGGGGCCCTGCTGGTGGTTCGGGGGGACGCCCCCTCTTGGGTCCTTCTCGGAGCTCTCCTGGAGCGCCCTTGGGCTGAATTTTGTCATGTTGGCCGTCTTGGGTGCCTGACTGGGGGCCTCTTGTGCCGTCTTGACAGGTTTTGGGGGCGCTCTTGTGTTGTCTTGGAACGTTGTCATCGCGAAAGTGGATGAACAGATCGGCGACGATGACGACGACCACGACGACGACGACGACGACGACGACGACGACGCTATAGGGCTATTGGGCTATAGGGCTATAAAGCTGCTATAGGGCTACAGGGCTATGGGGCGATAGGAATATAAGGCTATAAGGCTATAGGGCTACAGGGCACTGGGCACCCGGGCACCCAGCACCCGGGCACCCACCCGGGCACCGGGCACCCGTCACCCGGGCACCCGGGCACCCGGGCACCTAGGCACCTGGGCCCGGCCACCGAATCGGCGGCGAACCCGGGCACCCAGGCACCCGGGCACCCGGGCCCGGCCACCGAGTCGGCGGCGAACCTCACCTCAGCCTTTAATCCGCTAGGACCCCTACAGAGGCAAGCTCTGATTGGAGAATGACCACTGTTTCACATTCGCGGGCATGCTACCCCAACATACACTCTAGTCGCGCGTGAGGCCAGCAAAGGCTGACACTTGCGAAAGAGAAGGCGGAAGGATCGTTTGAAACATTCACGGGCATGTTACCCCACAAATGCACTCTGGTGGTGCTTGAGGCCAGCAGAGGCTGAAACTTCGGTTCGAATGAAAATAGATTCATAACTAGATCGGACCTCCTTGGGAGAGGGGACAGGAAGACGGAGGGCGGAGACGGACAGGGAGGCGCCATACGGACTTGTGAAGCCAGGGAGGAGGAGGAGGAGGATGAGGAGGAGGAGGAGAAATGAATGGGCTTCGCGGCCCAATCTATCTCAGCCGAGCGGCTCTATACGTGCCCCACAGATGCGAGCGGACGAAGACGTCCTCAAACCGGCCAGAGCTCGGCACAACATGCACATCCTGTCAGAGGCCAGCGAAACCACCGACACAAAACTCCGAACCCCCGCCAGGCCTGTGGAGCCCACGGGGTCAGAGCATGGCAGAGAGGAGGAGGACGACGACGACGACGAGGGGTAGGACTGGGGAGAGGGGGCAACCGGCGGCAGCATCTGTGCCCCCAGGCCCCACGAAACCGCCGCGCGACGATGGCGGACTGCATGATAGAGAGAGTTGTGGGGGGGAGGGGCGAGTGGGATGCAGCAGACGCTCCAGCAGCACCACTCCTCCTAGCTCCAAAGTCCCCAGCGTCTATCCCTCCCCCCTCGAATACATGCCCAGCAAAATACAAACTATTCCGAACTTTACGGCGTTGAAAGAATACTGAATATGTTCCATAATATTTTCCAACCGGAAGCACGGCTGCGCCGCACGTCGGCGGCCGATCACCTTACAGTTGCTGCTGGCTTACGCGGACACCCAGTCCCAGCGTGTAGCATACCTCGCTGGGCATAGCACAAATCCGAGGCGTCGCGTATCTACGACCTGGTTCAACCAAGACGCATCCAAGAGAACTGCATCGCGCACTTGCATCAGACTCGGAGCGAGGGAGTGCGACCCGTGCACGCAAAGAGCGAGGACGGGGCAGAGGCTACGGTAGAGGACGAGGAGCTGTTGGAAGAGCTTGTTTTCCTCACGATCTGGCCGAGGTGTGTCTGAGGACTGCAGGCTGCCCTGGCAGTTTGCGAAGATGCCAGTGTCCTCGTCCAGAACGATCCACCTCAGGGTTTCGTTGAAGTCATCCAGGTTATCAATCCTTCCGAGGATCATGGCCGTATCCTCTGGCCTGGAGGACTCCATGTCTACACGCGCAGACTCATCAACGCGCTTTTGTGCAGCTTGAGGCTGTTGTCGGCATGGCATTTGACAGTTATGTATGAGAAATGAGCCACATGAGCCTTGCTTACACACCTTGCTGAGGTAGAGCATCATGTCATCAAACTTGTTCATATCACACAAAGTCCCCTCCCCGTCGAAGCGCAATGGTGGTGTGATGTTCCGGAATTTCTGGTGGCCGCAACTGCAGACAGGATGTACTCTGCAGCTGACTGGATCCTGTTGCTGCCCGGGGTTCGCGCTACAAATTCCTGCATGCTGATTGCCGCAAGCAGCACAGACCCAATACGAAATCCCCAGAAAACCCTTCTGGTGCAAATCCTTCATGAGCACTGGCCATTCGGCCGGCTTCAATCTGGGCAACACCGCCTCATATGTGCTGCGGCCAAGAGCATCCGCCACAATGGCAGCAATCAGATCTATAAACTTATTTGACCACGAATGTGTACCATGCACTGCGCTGGGATAGAGGTCCCACCCATAAACTGCGTAGACAATGCGCACGGCCCAAACTCTGAATTGTTGGCCGTGAGTGGAGTGATGGCCTGCCGGACGACGTCAGCTGTGGAATGCACATCTGGGTTGAAGCGAGGCATGTAGTGCTGTCCGAGTCCAGCGTAAAAGCCTAGGAATGCCCCTATAATGCAGCCCCACTCCGATAGCTCTTTTACGTTATCCTCCCATTGTATACTTCCTGATGTATCGGTTAAAAACTTGGCACAATTCGCAGTGCACTCACCAGTAACCCGCGAAATCGGACGGACGCGTACCAACCCGACAGCAGCAATACGATAGCGGCATTCACAACCAGGTCGAATATATTGAAGAATGTCTTGAGGATCTCATATATGTAGGCATGCTCGTCTCAGTGATACACGAACAGCACGTGCGACGCAAACTCAATACCCAATGCCAACACAGCTGTGACGCCACACAACAGTGTCGCCATCAGCTACCGCCGCACAGTGCGATAGCTCCGCTGAACCTCCCCCCCACGGCGTGCAACGGTCTGCTGCGCAACGTTTTGGGCAACAAGGAGTGAATTCCTAAGAGCATGAGCTGCCATCGCAAGACCGCCCACTGTGAGTGACAAGATTATCGACAGCAGGGTCTGGGGCAACGTGCAAAACCAATCCTGCGCCACAGCCGTCGTGAGCCGAAAAACAACGCAGGCACTGACACCGAGCAAAACAACACACTGAAATGCAATGACGACGGACATCCGTTTCAGGTGGCCCTTCTCACCCTGTGCACGCTGCAGAGCCAGAAACCTCATTCGCAGCAAGAAGCTGAGATAGGTGGCAGAAGACGCCCACACGATTCCGATTCGGATATGTCGCATCACACCACTGATAAACCCTCTCAAAATTCCACATTACAGCCAATACCCACTTCAACAAAAGCCAATATCGGGCATGGATGACAAAAGCAGACACGGTGGGCACGTACTTCAGACCAAAAGCAGCACATACAGCCACTAAAAGTGAAGTGATTGTGCTCGCAAGCACTATGAAGTGATAGGTGTCTCCCCAAGCGTCCCAATCTGGATGTGGGAAATACTGTGCATCTACGTCCCCATTGCATGTGTTCATGGGGCTTAGGTGGGAAATGCTTTCTGAAGTGGTGTCATCCTGCCCGTATCCACTCCATCCCAAGCCCATCCAGACTGGAGCAAATGCAGAAGAAAGCACAAGGCTGATCTGCTCATGACCACGCGCAGGAAACCGGCAACAAGCGAAATGGCCGGGCGCCGTCCCTCAGGCGGTGCACCCTGCTCGTCCGCCATGCTCCATCTACAGCGTGGACACCCGAGTATGCGGCTCGAGCCAAAGAGTGCAACGGATGTATCTGTTTTTATTGTTCTCTAAGTTTTTGTTTTTTTTAATGCGACGGAGGTCTCTTGTTGAGCGTCGTTCCCCGAGTGCTGCGGCCCGAAGAAAGCGCCCGGCACGGACCCTCATGCCACAAGACGTCTCGGCGCGCGCGTCTCTCCCCTGGGGGGGGGGGGCGATGCACGCACAGCATCAGTACCAGGTCGGGCCTGTCCCCCGACAGGGGGGTCTTCGACGAAAAATTCAAAATTCCAACAAAAAAAAAAAAAATCCAAACCTAGCCCGGGGACTAGGTTTTGACTACTGTTTGACCTTCTGGGGTCTGGTTTTTTTATTTTTCGTCGAAGATCCCCCTGTATGGGGGACACGCCAGACATAATATTCGCATGCTTGAAGGGGCCCCAGGACACACAAATAAATACACACAAATGAAGATGTCCCCCATATTTTCCTATATTTTCTGGGTTTCTGTCTTCCCCCCCACTTCCCATGTTTTCCCAGATTTTCTGGGGAATCGAGGATCAACTGCGTCTGTGTGTTTCTTCCCCCCCTGGATGCTGGGCTGACGCCAACGTCAGCGTCTTGACGGCAGCGCCGCCCCCCTTCCCTGCCGTGCGCTATCATGCGCCGCACAGAGGTCGCGCGGGGCGAGCGCAGTCGGACCCATGGGACGGAAGAACATCCTCCAAGAGCATGAGACCCCCTTCGCCGGCAAAAAACACAACATCCAAGGGCACTCCAGGCTTCGTAATTCAAAGGGAGGGGGGTCTCCCTTCGGGGGGGGTCTCTTCCAGGCTACCTTGGAGGGCCTGGGGGGTCTGGGGACGATGTTTTGGAGGGTTCTCCCACGGGGGAGGTCTGAAGTGGCTTGTCTTGGAGGGTCCAGACCCCCTCCCTTTTGTTACGAAATCTGGAGTACCCTCCCCAGGATGCACGAGAACATCCCACAGGCGCGGAGTGCATTCGGAGACCCTCCCCGAACCGACCCCGATCCGAGGGGCAACGACAGGGGGGAACAGGCATAGGGGGGCGGGGAGGAGGAGGAGCAGGAGGAGGAGGAGGAGGAGGAGGAGGAGGAGGAGGAACATCGACCTGGAGTGGGCGAGACATCGCCGACAGCTCGGCGAGGGGCCCCCGATGGTCAATCCGCACGCTCCGGGGCAGGCTGGGGCCATCGGGCCCCCCTCGGCGAGCAGAGGGCGATTGGGGGTCGATGCGTCCCCCCCCCTGTGCCTACCCCCCCTGTCGTTGCCCCTGACGATCCCCATGTGCCCACCCCCCCATGTGCCTACCCCCCTGTCGCTGCCCCTGCTTACCAGCCCGGAACATGTCCCTATCCCTGTGCTGGGCACCTCCTCGTCACGGTGCCAATCTCAGGGATTCTCTTTATCTTTTGAGGGCGAATCCAGAAGATTGTCCTCGCCTTTGGGCGTGTCAATCTTAGGGATAGGGATACGTTCGAGGCTGGCAACCCTGCGCCTGCCCCCCCCTGTCCTTGCCCCTGACGATGCCCCCCGTCGTGCCTGCCTCGGTCACGCCGTGCCCCGGCCTGGCCCAGGCACTCGGCCTAGAGTGAAGGGGCCCCAGGACACACAAATAAATACACCCCAAAAAAAAAAAAAAACTATTTTCCTAGATTTTCTGGATTTTTGTCTTCCCCCCCACTTCCCATATTTTCCCATATTTATCTGGGAATCGACGATTAATTGTGTCTGTGTGTTTTTTCCTCTCCTGATAGAGGCGCCCCCTCCGCCCACGGTGCGCTCCCCCGCAGGATCGGCGGCGTGGCAGGGCGGCAGAAGTGCTGCCCGGTGAGTGGCTCGGCCGTCCTCTGCGGGCCCCTCCCGCTCCCGAGGTCCTCCCAGGGCCGCGATCCCTCGCACCAAATTGCCATGTGACGTACCCAACCCTTTCTATACACGAGGCGATTATACTCAGGACCACTCCATGCTGACTGGCATTCTGAAGGACCCGCAGTGCGCAAGAAGCGCACCCAACAGGTCCTCCCAGGGCCACGATCCCTCGCACCAAAAAAAGTGGATGGGTCCGCGCTTCCGAGGTCGCGATGCCTCGTAGCAGAAGGATGGATCTGCGCTCCCAGTACCACGATCCCTCGCACCAAAAAAAAGGTGGGTCCGCGCTTCTGGGGTGACGATGCGTCGTAACAAAAGGATGGATCTGCGCTCCCAGGGCCACGATCCCTCGCATCGAAGACGAAAGATGAGACCGCGCTTCCGAGGTCGCGATGCCTGGTAACAAAGAGGATGGATCTGCGCTCCCAGGGCCACGATCCCTCGCACCAAAAAAAAGGATGGGTCCGCGTTTCCGAGTTCGCGATGCCTCGTAACAGAAGGATGGATCTGCGCTCCCAGGGCCACGATCCCTCGCACCAAAAAAAAGGTGGGTCCGCGCTTCTGGGGTAACGATGCCTCGTAACAAAAGGATGGATCTGCGCTCCCAGGGCCACGATCCCTCGCATCAAAGACGAAAGATGGGACCGCGCTTCCGAGGTCACGATGCCTCATAACAAAGAGGATGGATCTGCGCTCCCAGGGCCACGATCCCTCGCACCAAAAGAAAGGATGGGTCCGCGCTTCCGAGGTCGCGATGCCTGGTAACAAAAGAACGGATCTGCGCTCCCAGGGCCACGATCCCTCGCATCATAAAAAAGGATAGGTCCGCGCTTCAGAGGTCAGGATGCCTCTATAATTAAACAATATGAATACTACTCATCTCTCCCCTGGTGGCGTCCGAGACATGTTCGGCCCCCCTCCGCGTGCTGGTGCTTCTTAAACACACCGGATTCCTGGGAAACGGGTTTCGCTTGGGTTGTTGTTCAAAGAGCTGCTCTCGCTGAAGCGCTGGCCTCATTTTCGGGCTACCGCTCGTCCGAATCGCGCTCCCGCTGCAGCGCTGGCCTCACTTCCGCGCTTCCGCTCGTTCCGAATCGTGCTCCCGCTGTAGCGCTGGCGTCATTATTTCCAGCGCCGTGCCACGGCATGGTTTTCGGTCCTTCCAAATACCCCAAAATCTAGAAAATGGCCCTCCAAAAAAACCATCGGAAATGCTTACGCATTCGGTGTCGATTCGTTGATTTTTGAGGGCGTCGCCACGCCATGCTGTGTCAGGCTACGCGTCCTCATTTCCGCGCTTTCGCGCTTGGGTTGTTGTTCAAAATGCTGCTCTCGGTGAAGCACTGGCCTTCATATTCGGGCTACCGCTCGTTCCGAATCGTGCTTCCGCTGCAGCGCTGGCCTCATTTCCGCGCTTCCGATCGTTCCGAATCGTACTCCCGCTGTGGCGCTGGCGTCATTACTTCCAGCGCCGTGCCACGGCATGGTTTTCGGTCCTACCAAATACCCCCAAATCTAGAAAATGGCCCCCAGAAAAAACAATCGGAAGTGATATCACAGTCGGTGTCGATTCGTTGATTTTTGGGGCCGCAAAAGCCCCCCCCCACTTTGGGGCGTCGCCACGCCATGCTATGTCATGCTACTCGTTGATCTTCGACACCATTATATGCCATGTAATGCTATGCCATGCTACGACATCCGATTGTGCGAATGGAGAGGAGATCTACGCCATGGTAAGGGATGGGAGGGAGGGGTAGGACGTCAGGACGTCAGATATGACGCAAGCGCGCCAAGCTTGAAACTCCCCCTGCCCCTTCCCCCATCCCTCCGTCCTCCCCACTCCCTGCCCTGTCCACCCTCCTCTCTCAAATGGTCTCTGGTTTTCCGATGGTGCTTGAGGGATTTTCAATGTCTCGTCGTTCGGTGTTCCCTCTTCCCTCCCACTTCCGTTCTCCTCCTCCCTCCGTCCCGATCACTCCTCCGTCCTCCTCCCCCCCTCTCCACCTCACCTCCATCCCCTCCCCCCCGCGGACCCAGCGGGGACCTCCTCGTCCTCCTCCCTCTACCCTCCTCCCCACCCCCATCCCAGTCCTCTCTCCTCCCTCGCATCCCCCTGAGATCCGACGTTGTAAACACATACAAAATCGCAAAGAATCACGACCAGAGCCCCAGACACCATCTTCTGCACCATCTATCGAACTGGATCAACATGTCAGGGCTCTGGGGCCCGAAACTGGGCGAAAATGCCCGCTGAGAAAAGAGTGCAACGCCCAGATCTGGGGCCCCCCCATCCCCCCCTCCCCCGTCGCTCCATCCTCCCTCCGTCCCCGCGGACCTCCTCCTCCGCCTCCTCCCTCCCTCATCCAGTCTCCTCCCCCACCCCCCATGTCATCTCGCCCCCTTGGCACCGCAGGGGGCAGAGGCTCTCCCCCTGCGCCCCCTCGGCCAACGAAAAGACGGCCGCAGGGAGGAGCGCCAACGCACCTCCGCAACTCTGCCTCGCATGCCCTGAAGACGCCAATTTTGCCACCCTCCTCCGGTAGTCCGCCCCCTCCATCCTCCTCCTCCTCCTCCTC